CAAAATCATCAATTTTGCTCCAAAACATGTAGTGTCTTGACATTCTGAATGCCACTCTGGCTCTACAGCTTGGGTGCACAAAAAAGTTGTGTGTCTCCAAGAATGGGTGAGATATATCAAGAGATGTACACAGCAGGAACCATATATAAGCATAGAAGTCATTACTACAATGGCTTCAGCACCTTAATAAACCTTGTAGAGCCATCATGTGGCTTCCATAAATTGCAAGTGTTCAGATGATTGAACAAAAATACTCATATCTTTGTGCTTGGAGGTTTTTGCCCAAATATTGCTAGTTTTGGACCAAATTTGAGTTTCTGACATAATATCCCCTGTGAGCAGTTTGCTTTGGGAAGACTTCAAAAATCATGGCAAAAATATGCAAAAATATGCAAAATGAGGGGACAGCACCCATGAATGGAATCGTTATTTTTTCAAATTTTTCTAACCTCTCCTGTATTGGTGATATTTTTCTACAGTTTCAATTTTCTAAACTCAGTGGTAAATCAGTGATCTGGCGTAGTGTAGGGTACTTACGTTTGATTTGGCTTCTCGGACTGAAGTTGGCTGGGTAGTAGATACATCCGGCTGCTTGGATTGTTTCGAAATGTTGGATGCGTGGTGGGTGATTTTACCTGGGGGTGTGGGTTCAGGAAGTTCCGTTCGATCTTGTGTTTCCTTTATTGCAAAGAGGGACAGGAGGAGGTCAGCGAAATTCAAACTTTCCATAAATATCAGACTCAACTTACTTTTGCTTGATAATCTGAATCCTCATCACTTGATTCAGAGACGTCTTCATCTTGCGATTTCTGGACAATTGGCCTTCTTGAAATTTTTGAAGGGAGTGCGGAGGATGAGGTGAGAGTACTTGCTAATCCTTGGGCAAGTTGGCATTCAGAGAGAAATCTCGTCAGAAGAAATGCCTGAGTTTCAGTTGGCAGGCGTAGCATTTGATCCTGTAGAGCTTGGTATTGAAAGGTGAGGTGCTGGCACTACACCAAATGTCATCTTTACCGGGCGGTAAAGAAAACTACTGACATAGAAAAGTCCTGAGGGAACAGGAAGAGAGCTAAAAATCTGGAAAAATATGCACCTTGTTCCTAGATGTTGGGGCGTCATGATGAGTATTTTTTTGTATTTTACACGCAGATATTGGTTTATGTACTAACAATAAACGCTGAAAATCAACAAAAACTCACATGTAACAATACCTGAAATTTGGGTCATGAGTATGAAGACAATATTTTGTGGTCTAAAAACTTCAATAACTTTTGCAACTCTGCTCCAAATAACTTGATTTTTGGTTCATTCAAAAGCTGAACTATTCTCCTTCACACTTCATAATGTTAGTAAGGTGCTATCTAGTCATTTAAACACTCTACATATGTTCAAACAGTTCTGCATGAATAGCTCTGTAGGATCTTTTTTAGACCAGCTACAGATGTGATGTCTCAATGAAAAATGTAGAGGAAAGGCTCACCTTTTTAATGCACTTCAAATCGAGTGATTTGATTGAGAAATGCAAAAGTTATTGATGTTTGAAGATTCCAAAATCCTGTCTTCAAAGTCAAGGGCCAAATTTCAGGTATTTTACAGGTGGGTTTTGATA